AATGAATATATACTCTTATGAATAATAATTATCGGAACAGCTAAAGCTACAAACTTAAATGAAAGTACACTAACAAAATGTCGTGTATCTTAGCAGCTGTCAAATGTCTTGCATAAATTATGCAACATTCACAAGCTTCCTATGCCAGCGCTCTCGTGGCCCCACATGCTGGGACGAGCCATTCATGGTTCATCTGAGCGAGGCTCCATTTGCGATACATTTGCAGAAGAGTCGCCTTAAAAATTCGGTGTTGTTGATGTTGCTGTTACTGTTGGTGTTGTTGTTGTTGCTGTTGTGCGTCGCATCCTCTATACGTCAAATGTCATGCATGTATATGATAGGTGACACTTGCTAGTTGTTTGACAAACACTGGGATTATGCAAATGAAGTTAGTAGCGTTTGGTATTCATAAACATTTCTATATTTCATGAGCACTCATGAACATTTATGCAGCACTCAAAGCGAGCATTGCGAAAACAAAAACAAAAACAAATGTTGTTTGTGTTATTTTTACCGTCCTTGTGTGTTGCCTGCATCTGTGTGCTGCTGCATGTTTTTATTGGTTGTTTGCGTCAAATGACTTGGCCGTACGTGCTTGAAAATGAATTGATTAGCCTCAGTTGGCCCCGGTAAGAAATGCCGTTGAATGCCTTAGTTGGCAATTGAGTTGTACTGAAACTGTGCCTAATTCAATCACCTGCGCTGCAGCAGAGGTTGCTGCAACTTCTATTCTCGCCATCAGCTAACTTCGCACATGGCCATGTGGCACTAAAGCTTTTATCTGATTATCCTAGCAAAGGGCTGGGGGCCTTGACGGGCAAACAAACTAGCAGCCGAAGCTCGACAGATTGCAAACAGTCAAAGCAAAACAAAAACAGATACCAACAACAACAACAACGGCGAGTGGAGTGCTTCAGCATTAACCACTAGCGACAACAATGTGAACAAAAAAGTAGAAAAAGCCAAAGGCAAAGCCAAAGGCAAAAGCAAGGCTAAAAGCCCAGCAAAGGCCGCTGAAACAATGCCCGACCAGTTGGTCACCTTTATGGACTCGGTCGCTAGGTGACAGCAGCAGGACCAGCAGCAGCAGGACCAGCAGCAGCAGCAGCAGTAGCAGCAGCAGGAGCAGGAGCCAGCCGAGACTTCAGCAAGGAAATCGCATTATGTCCCTAACTCGTTCAGCACTTGCTCCCTATTATATTTTGTCGTTTCTCTGCGGAGCTCTCTCTGCTCTCGCTGCGCTATCTTTTCGCTATGGCCGCTTTGTTGGTTTGATTTTATTCTTTTCTAACGATGCTACGTCTTTGATTGTGCACCTTTTTCTCTTTCTCTTTTTTTTTCTAGCTGCGGCCTCAGCTGCTGTCCTATCGAGGGGGCTATAAATATGAGAAAGCATTTCATAAGATATCCTTAATTAAAGTAATTTCCTCTCTGCTATGGCTGGGTCAGATTTACTGCGGCTTCGGTTTAGCTTAGCCGCACTCGCCTCGTGTGCACATGCTGAAATTAAATTTGCAAGGGAGAGTAAAAGGAAATAAGCTGCGTAACATAAAGGTGCGACCGAAATATGGCAGCACAATGACCCCGTTAAGCACACACCCACACACATAGACACGCCAACCGACAGACAGCTCCACATGTGTGCGACCCCACAGCAAAGGGTTAAGAGCGAAGCTTCGTGTGGCCATTAACATGAAATTTTTAACAACAGCCAGGCAAGAAGCTCCGCGGTTCACCTGGCCGGCATTCTTGTTAGCATTTTTGTTTGTCGTGTTGCCGTCGCCGTTGCCGTTGCCGTTGCAGCTGCGATTGCGGCAGGTGGGTGATTGCAAACGACATAAGCAGCGTCGAGGTGCTGCAACAGGAGCTGCTTTTGTCATTGCTTTCAATGGATCTGCGACTTCGCTTTCAGACCGCGGCCCTGCTGTGTTTTTATTCATTGTTGTTTTTGGACTGCGGCATTTTGTTTTTAAGCTCGGCGCCCTTCGTTTCTCGTGCTCTCCCTTTTCTAGCTCACTTCGCCCGATTTAAGCCAGCGCACAGGTCTTACCTGTGCAGCATCTACTCTTCACCTTTCCAACGCTTTGCGCTATAAGTACTCAAAGCTGTAACTGCACAATACAAAAACTACAACAACAACAACTGCTACTACTACTACTACAATCATATAAACAGCAACCACAGCAACAGCAGCAGCAGTTGTAGCGGGACTTATCCTGCCGTCGTTGTTGTGCTCCCTTTCTGGACGTCGTCGCACAGGATGCGACGCTTATTTATCGCTTTTTTATGTGATATAAACGTTTCGGAATTGGCAACGTAAAGCATTCAATTTATTGTGAGAGAAATTGAGATTGCAGAGCGAACAATAACAACTAGCTGCTGCTGCGGGCGTGCTCCATGGTAAATAAGTCGAAGCCGAACGTAATTGATTCGCCTTGGCATCTGGGACGACATTTCATGGCGACGCTAATTATATGGCATGGCCGAGGGATTCGCAACGCTGCTAAGTGGCAAGAGTTGGTCTGGGATCAGTTTAGACATTTTCAATACTTGAAGCGTAAATCATGCAATATCTTGTGGCCTTCCTCCTAACGGTGGGCTCAGCTCTGGCGATAGAGGAACTGCCGGATTCAAAGCATCTGGAACCCGCGCTTCAACCAACGAATGCCACTGCAAGTCTAGGTAAGCCAGGAAACACCACAAAGAAAGAAGACCCGAGGCTCGTGAATGTGCCCTTCACGGAGTGCAAGCGCCATGAGGTATTTACCCTCACCAAGGGCTGTGTCAATCGCAAGACATACATGCAGGATGTCATCTTCAAAACCTGGAATGATAAAAGTATGGAAAGGGTCAGGCTTGGCAATGACTCGGGAGAAATCCAGTGCGCAATCAATGAGCTACACACGATATTTGGCTGTGAGCCAATGGGAAAGAAGCTGCGCGACAGCGCCGCTCCGCGCGCGGCTGTATTGCCGAACTATCTCCATGGAAGTAAGATTTATAATAGCAAAGAAGCCATACCCCAAACAGATGACAGCGAGCCCATTTTGAATGGGAATACGGGGACGAATCCATCTCGTGCCCGTGACCGTCTCCCTTCAGAGAAAGTATTGGGAAGAAACTTACCCGTAAAAGAGCCGGAAAGTACTGCCGGAGCACCTGGTGCAGGGAATGCTACCCAAGGGGGCAGCACCAATGCCACGGGCACACCTGATGAAGAAGTTAATGAAATTCTGCAGAAAGTGATCGGCCACAATCGGAAGAGAAAGTATTCGTTCCTGCCGGGCAGGCTGCTTAATACCTACCGCAAGTGTCGCCCCTATGAGGTACTGGGAATGGGTCGACGTTGCATTCGGAAGAAGGGCAAGGTTGGCTTCAACAAGCATCGGAACCACGTCTATGGAATAAAGAAGCGGCATCGTAAACCGGCGAGTTCGCCGAGCAAGAGCAAGCACGGTAAGAGCTCTGCTCCAAGTATATCTGACTATCTGTAGTATCATGCGAACTGTCGCAGTGAACCATAAATAACACAACAATAAATTACTTCAGCTATATCAGAATCCGGTCATACAGACATTTCCTTTGAAGAACCCACACACACACACACACACACATACACACAGTGAGAGTTTTCTGTTAGTGACTCCGAGTAAGTAATTTACTCCAAGTAATTTTAAATTTTGTTTTAAGCCCGGCCATTCCGTTTAACGACTACCAATTTCATAGGTCCCTTTAATGGCATTGACAGCAAATTGGATTTTAGCCTTGAGCCACGGCACAACAAATTCAAATAGATACGTGCGGCGGGTGCTTAGGCTTCGAGTGATGTGCTGGTAAATGGGCTCGGTTATTTTATAATATGTGCAAGGCTTATAAATGTAAGAGCATAATTAAATGGGATTTGCGCCTTGGGTTACTGAACTCAGCGCCGACCTGGGCAGCCGCCTGAGAAGGGGGGCTGCGTTTGTATGATTGCGCAACGGATTACTGGGCAGCTGCAAAATGGGAAATGGACGAAATGGATGGCTTTGACATGCTAATTAGTTAACCTCTCGCATAGTTGGCTGCCAGCCGTAACCGTAACCGTAACGTACTTTATGTACAACAAAAGCGCACAAATGTCTACGTCTCCTGCGTTCGGCTGCAAAGGGTCTGCGACGGCGTTACCCATACGCCGCGTTTGACAGACCTCAGAGGATGCGAAGCGTTTAAGTGCCAGCCACCCGACACCAAACATGATGAATAGTTCTGCAATAATTACATTACTTGGCAGTTTCATGTTCACTCCTGTCGAAAGAAAGTCACACGTGGCTGCGCCTGTGGCCATATACAGATGTACACGACTGTAACCGGCCATTATTATTGTGTTGTGTATTGTGTGTTGTGTATTATCGTTGTGTATGCGATTTGCTGTGCAAATAGTGGGCCATCAATATGAGCAGCTGCTTGCGGAACATTAATCATATTCCGTGTTAATTAATCAATTAATTATGTTCTTGAAACTGTAAATTTGTCGCCTTGTGCTTAGTCAGTGCTCGGCTGCGACTCCTGCTTCATAAATTATGGCCGAGACTTTCATCCATCCATCTGCCTAACGCCTGACAGCGATGCCAATCCAGAAGCTGATAAGATATTAGTAAGTCTTTAAATCGCACGTAATTGGACGCATTACTCGATTGCATTTGCATTTCGCTTTGTTTTCCAAAATCTGCTATTGAACATGCACAAATGCGGCTCAAGGCAGAGCGTGCTTTAAGCCGCTTTGCAACCTGCACTGAGTTGATCTATCTTCGGATTATGATTTTAGTGAAATATTTAAAATCGGTTGCTCTCGAGTCGCTAAGCCAGCAATCTGACTGCAATATTGCATTTGTCAGCGCTCCAACTATAAATCGCATCGCCTCGCAAGTTGTCAGCGTGAAATTGAAATTCATGAAATATCGAATATTGAAATATTTAAATCGAATGTCAAAAATTTCTGTCTGTCCGTTCGTCAGCAGCTGGCGAGCCTGGCTGTCAGTGAATTGTACGAAAACGTTTCTCCTCAACTTGCTATATTTTCACTATATTTCCCTCTGGCTCACACACACACAAAGCAACACCAGTAACTGACATCAGCGAGTAAGAGTTTTAGATATATGTATATGTGTGTGTGTGTAAGGTACGTTTTCTTTGCAGCGTTGTCTGAAATATCAAATGTTCTATTAAGCTAAACTCGCAGTGAAACATACTGAAATGGAATATGGCAGAGTGTGTAGCAGCTTATTGGCATAAGCATGAATCGACGCCACTCTCACTCGGACTCCTCATATGCCATGGAGCAGCTCTGCTATATGCCATATTATATAGTCAGTCATGCTTAATATGCTGTGTGTAAAAGTGCTCGAGTATTGAGTTAGCCTTGCTTATTTATTTTCCCATTATACGAAAACAAAAGCAAGAACTCGCAAGATAACAAAACAAGTTGGACTTATGTTTGTTGTTTACCGATCGAAGCGGAAAGTATCAATTAGATAAGGGCTATACGCAGCAGCGGAATGCTGTTTAAACAACCTAAAACTTACTCGAAATCCCCATCAACTGTGTGAATTTTTCAGTCGGACTGCGGACTGGCAGTCGTCAATTGAAGTGGCTCTGGCTGCGTATTTGCATATTGTTGTTTGCTTTGGTAATTAAGTTACCAACTTATTAAGCGTGTTTATGATGTTTACACAACAATTTATTTACCATAATATTTGCGAGCGTTTAAGCCAAGCTGTTGCTGTTATTGTTGCTGTTGTTGTCGGTGTTATTATAGCTGGAGTTCTGCTAATATTATTACAACAGTGATTCGCGCGTCGGACGCTGCGTGGAAATTTGTGCCGATTTGCGTTGTGCAAATAAATGAATAAAATTTAAAATACCAAAAAAAAAAAAAAAAAAAAACAAATGAAAAAAATACACCAGACACTGAAACAATAATAAAACATTCAATTAAGCGCTGCGGCTGTTCGGGTAATTACATAAATGGTTTATTTATTCTGTGTCGCGGCGATTCGCTGGCCAGTCCAAAATTATTTTACTCGACTCGCGCTCGCTGGCTCTACATTAAATTAAATGCCGTGTCGCTGCTACACAGTAGGCGCTGATGTCAATTGCCATAAGAACAAGCTCATAAACGTTACGCATACGCCATGTAAGCCCTATGAGAGCACGTCGCGCCGTCGTCCGGCTGGGATGGCATCATTCAGATGTTGAGCAAACGTGGCACATGAAATACCTTACTCATTGGCCCCACAGACTGAAGTGCTTAGTCATACATGGATCCACACACACACACACACCCACACACACACGCGCGCGCCTACATTGTCCAGCTTGTGCTGGTAGACATACATATATGGGGCCGTCACTTAATAGATGCAGACACATACTGAGCATATCCTGGATCGTGTCCCTGCGCCGGGGAATGTTGATGATTTTGATGTTCGTGTCATTTGAAAGCGTTATGCGTGACGAAACGGAAGCTCTTAAAAGCCACAATAACTAAACGCTTGAACTGAAGCCAAAAGCCGCCGGACTCAGCTTGCCCTCAACCCAAAAGAGACATCAAAATATTCATAGTCGAGGCACTCTCGGTGTCTGGTGTCGTCCTGCTTGGCGGCGTATGCAGCGGTCGCCATGGCACATTAAGAAGGACTCTTTCTGGCTGTAAATTCTACTGTTTTATGCGCTTTTTGTTACGCACTGCTTGAGCGGCGGCCGGACAATGCCACGCCCCCCAAAATAATGACGCCAAATGTAATGGCAACAGCAGCAGCAGCCAAGGCAACAGCCAAAGCAACAGCAACAACATGAGCTCATTATTTTAATTAGATGCGAGCCAGGAGTCTAATAATCATGACTTCGTGCCAATTTGCCAGTTAGCTAAATGGTCACAAATGTGGCAGCTGTGTAGCATTTAATTAAATTAAGTAAATGTCATGGTGTCATTATTGTTTTTGTGAACATTTTAATGCATTTTAAATATTTGTGTTTGCAGGCAGAGATTGCGAGAGCAACTGGGCTGCGGCTGGGAGTTGATATTAGCATATTTCATATATAAATTCATAATGTGCTGGAACATAATTTAGATCAGAGAAACACAACATGACGTTGCCATAATGAGACTGGGCCCAGCAGGCCGATCAAATATCAATAGCTATGTCTAATCCACTGGGAAGCCATGTGCCAGATAAACACGCACTCCCACTCAGCGCATACGGCACGTAACCTGCGGCCGACTGAGACATATTGCGTTAGGCCACAGCGCGCTGGCCTGACCATATAAAAAACGAGGCCTGGCCTGGCAAAGGACTGATGTATAGTCTATATGTCAAATACATCAAACTTGGGTAGCTGTTTGCCCTGGCAGCTAAGCAAACATCGGCCCAACTCCGTCGAGAGCTGAGCCGCAGTCTGAAATGTGTATATCATTTGGATTGATTGCCCAGCCCGAAAAGCTAGGCCATGATGCGTCTTTGTTTGTTTATAACTGTCGGTAGGATGCCTGGTCCTTGGCCGCTCTTCGCCTGGCCCGTGTTTCCGTCTGTGTGCTTTGGACTCAGTCAGACGCGCTGTGCCCAGTGAAAAGTGGCAGCGGCGGACAGGCGAAGCCCACATATGCTTTCGTTGTCACACTTGGATTGTCGGCACGTGCAGAGACGTAAATGAGTTATGAAATGCGAAGCTGTTGTCTTTTAGACGGGGCCAAGTGGGACGTGAACCAAAATTATTAATAAATCAAAGCATAAAACTTCAGACCCAATATTGGATTTATATGGACTTAGAAAAGCTAAAGCCACCAAATGTGACATAAACTGATTATAATTTACTGGAAAAAGCTAGCATATATTTGAATCTTGAAATCCTCATCTATATGATCGGAAATAGTAATATTGATCTAATAAATAAGGTATAAAAAGAACTAGATTTATACATATTTATACATATTTTTATTTCAAATATTTTTGTTTAAATGGTGCAAGTATCAATGAATTTAAAACAATTATATCAAATAATCATATAAACCAATTTTTTTTTGTATTTCATATAAATTGTTATTTAATATTGCTTTGCTAAGAATATCAAGCAACAGAGATTTATGTATTATAAAAATAAAATAAATATAAATTTTTATGTTAAATTGCATTGATGATATAATATAATATAGAGTTTTATTTATTGCATATAGAAATGAAATAAATATAAAATAACTATATAAAATAAAAATAACAATTTGTATACACTTTTATTTAAAATTGCTTGATTAATAATATCAAATAACAGAGATTTATTCAATATGAAATAAAATTAAACATGTACAAATTTTTACTTGAGACTGTTTTGTTGAGATGAAGCAAATATCAACTAATAAAAAATTATAACAAAATAAATATAACTTAAAAAAAAAAAAAAATAAAATAAAATATTTACAAAAAATTAAAAAAAAAAATTTATTTTTTAAAATAAAAAAAAATATTTTAAAAAATATCTTTGTATTTATTCAATATTGCTTTATTAATAATATCACAATAAAAATACATATATATTTAAAATTACATTTTTCAAATGCTTATGTATATAAAATGTTGTAAGATAAAAGAGATTTTTACTTATTGCGTATAAAAATAAAATTAATGTAAATTTGTATTTGAAATTGTTTTGTTGAAAAGTTGCAGCTATCAGTGAATATTAAAATATAGTATCAATATATATGTCTTAGTTTTCAAGAAGCCGTTTATCACTTAGCTCCTCACAAACGTTCCTGAAGCGTAGGCCTGAATGATATAAAACACTGAGAACGTAAAGTTCAAAGTGACATTTCGGCAATAGTGCAAAACAATGCAAGATACAAGTGCACACGCACACAGATACCAACTATTTTGAACGCACACACACACACATGCAGGCATATATATGCAAGGACTGGATACTCGTCGTAGTGAGCACTTGAAGGCACCACAGAAAGCCAGCGGAAAGATGTCGACGAAGTGCAAAGCGCTTCAAACGATTTTCCGCAAAGTTGACTGCTCCGTGCAGTGGAAGGTGTTTCAGAGTGCCCCTGAGCGTGTATTGGTGTTTGTATCGGTGTGCATGTTTATGGCCACAACAGAGACAGCTGAAGAAGAAGCAGCCGCAACAGCAGCAACAGCAACAGCAGCAACAGAGCCTGAAATACAATTTTCGCCAAAAGCCTTTAGGTATTTCACGCCAGCAAAATATGCGAGTGGGTTAGACGGGCGCGGGGGCGTGAGGGAGATCTTCGGGCTCGTGTGTGTTGCCAACTTCACACCCAATGGCGGCAAATTTTTGGCAACAAACTTGTATGTGCGACTAAGATGAAGCAGCACTAGCCAAAAGGCGGCAGGAATAAGATGAGAATGGGACTGAGCATGAGAATGTTTATGTTCATGTGTATGCGAAGAGCCTGCCAAGGGCCAAACGTTGAGGTGTATCTGTGTCCGTGTCCGTGTCTGTGTCTGTGTCTGTGCATTTGTGTGTGTGTGTGTGGCAGTCTGCGAATTTATTGCCCAGGGAAGCATATCCTTAGCTGTGCGCCGCTTTTTGCGCTGCCACCACCACCAGCGCTGCAACATGTCGCAAAGTTGTCGAAGCGTGGGCGGCTCAGCTGCCGCTGCAGCGGGAATAGACTCTCGTAACTTGGCTAACAGCAAGACAAAACACAAAAAAACACAAAAAAAGCAAAGCAAAGAAGAAGAAGAAAACTGAGAGTCGAATATGTTTTAGTGGCGCAACTGTGCTGACAGTTGTGTAAAATATACGCGCTCTCATAATTTATATCAGTTTTGTTAACTGAACGTGACTGCGTCGCGAGACCAGAGCTACTTATCAACCGCCAGCTGCTAGTCCTTTACCGTCCTGACAGAGACTCGACCTGGCGCTGCGCTGGATGCCGGCTGCTAGGCGCTGGGTCATGCCCCAACATCGTCGGCGTGCCGTCGATGTCAACACGTTCGTGCAATTAGCCAAATGGCTCCACGGTCTGACTTGTGCCCTTTGTTCGTCTAGCGGCGAGCCTAGGGCCAAGACATAGGAATTTTTCGTACCCATATTTGTTCAGAGTATTTTTACAATCTGCTCTATGCATCACATGTTTAATACTTTAGCTTACTCATCCCACTCTAAGACAATATACAATTTGAGCTACGCAAAACCTCAAAGTGCCTAAAGTCCAAAACCCGCAATTTGAAATCCCAAGTATTCTTCAATTAGTGGTCAGGGCATAAAACAGCTGCCAAATCGAGCGAGCCCCAGCCATTGCTCGTGTTTAATTAACTAATCTACATACATGAAGTTGAGGGCAGGCAACAAAAAGGAGCAAACAGAGAAGAGATATGAGGCAAGACAGGCTCTCTAATTCGCAGACGTTAATCCAATTTGAAAACTTAAATGCTTTAATCAGAAAATGTGCTCTGACCACATAAACCACAGGATACTTGCACGTAAAATGTCGCCATTGGCTTTTGATTTTGTTTCAGTGTCAATTTACATGGGGCTGCTTTGCTGAAATGAGGGCAGAGCCAACACATGACCATTTCACTGTGTGGGTTGGTCGAAACCGCAAAGCCAAATATTTGAATTTATCAAGTTGAGCCTTGGCATTGCACAGTCCTTTCGCCAGAGGACCTCGATCAGCCGAGGGAGTCAATCAACACTCGGGCTTTCAACAACAGCTCGATAAATATAGATGCTGTCAAAAGAATTGTGATTAAGACAGGCCAAAGTAATCGAAGGCATGGAACTGAAAATTAAAAATCAAAAATAAAATGAAGACGAATAAGAAGAAGAGGAGTGAAAATCAACAACTGTTGGCCATGGCCAACAACAATGGCTGTAAATCTCATCATTCTTCATTTAATTTCACATTCTCGTGCCGCATTACAGGCAAACATCTCGTATAATAAGGAAGTCTTACACGCGGCTCCCGCCTCTCATTGTGTTTCCTCACTTTCTTATTGTTGTGAGAAACTTCGATTAAATAATAATCAAATAAAATTATGTGATGGCCGAGCGCAGTAATTGCCGCACTCTCTCTCCATCCAGATAACGATGCACATAATTGAAATCCACAATGCTCTGATTTTTATAGCTGCCCACCATCATCACCATCGTCATCATCGGCATCATCGTTGTCCGGCAATCCTTCACTGGACAGATATAAATTTTTTGCTCTTGATGCTGCCCGTTTGATTTATAATTGCGAGAAGCATTAAAACTGGACGGCATTGGGTTGAGTATCGAGTTAATTACTGTGCTTAATAGGAAGCCTTTATATACACACAATATATAGCACACACACACACACATGCACAATAGAGTACTCAAGCTCATTCATATACTTTGTACAATAATCGTTGCGAGTACTTAAGCGTGTATATGGACTGTTTGCGTATTTGGACTCAATTTAATTTCGATTTGCAATCAGTTGAAGAGCTGCCTAGTTCTTTCAGCTGGAGACGGGCACTTTTTGTGATGTTTTCATTTTCAGTTTCGTCTTCGTTGAGATTTTCATTTCTAGTTGTGCTCAACTCAATTCGAATTTGATTTGATTGCAAACATTTCTCTATCCCCATCGCATGGAAACATGCTTTGTCAGTTGCAACAATTTGGTGCATTTTACATTGTTTGTAATGTCACTCACTCTCTGTCCCATGTTATTGGTGATGTTGTTGTTGCTGTTGTTGTTGTTGCTGTTGTTGTTGTCGTTGTTATTATCACAAATTCTGATGATGTTGTTGTCGTTGTTGCTGTTGCTGCTGTCGATGTCGTTGCTGACGTCCTTGGGGTACATAATTCAACCCCATAGATTTGTGTGTCGCTTAAGAAACTAAGCAAACAAAGTTGATATTATCCACAAAGCAATTAATTTTACCCTGTTGTGAGAATGTGTTACCCTGATGAGAATCAAACTTAACTGAGAAGTTGAATGAGTTTTTAAAATGAGTTG